TTTAACTTGTAGCTACTATAAAGGCATATAGTAGGTTGAAATTTAAAAAGATCAGTAGCCCTCTGGGAGAAATTGTTGCTAAACACCTTATTTATTTGATAATTATATTCTAAGAATCAAAATACAATAATTTAATGATAAAAATAAATAAGCAAGCAAGGAAAACAAAAACTCATTTTCTTTATTACTGAGTAGTTTTTCACTCAGCATAATTCTTTACAAATTCATCTAATATTTTGCCTGTATCAATAGAATATTTCTTTATTTTGCTGAATAGTAACTCATATTTGGTTGAAATACATTGGGATTGTTTCTAGTTTTGACTATTGTACATATGTCTTATGGTTCTTTATTTCTAGTTTTATTCCATGTAGTCAGAGAACATAGCCATATAATTTTGATTTTAAAAATGTGGAGATTTTGTGTGTGTGTTTGTGTGTGACCCAGGATATGGTCTATCTTAATGTATGTTCTGTGGGGTCTTTGAAGAATGTGTATTCTGTTGTTAGGTGGACCATCCTGTATCTGTCAACTGGCTCCTATTTGTTGATTTCGTTGTTTTGATCTGTATTAGTTTCCTGTGGCTTCTGTAACAAATTACCGCAAACTTGGTAGTATAAGGCAACAGAAATTTATTCTTTCACAGCCCTGAAAGTCAGAATCTGAAATCGAAGTGTGGATAGCTCCTTGCTCACTCCAGAGAATCTAGGGGAAAATAGATTCCGTAACTCTTCTAGCTTCTGGTGGCTCCTGGCATGCCTTGGTATTTCTTGGCTGGTGACTGCATCACTCCAGTCTCTGTCTCTATTTTCACATTTCTTCCTGTGTGTGTCTGTGTGTGTGTGTGTGTAATCTCCGTCTGCTTTCCTCTTATAAGGAGAAACACTTGTGATGAGTATCAAATGGTGTTACAATTTTTGTTTCAATTATCACATATAATATAGTCAACTCATGAGGAGAGGATAATCTATTGTATGCCCCAGTATTTTTGGTCTTTGTGTTCTCTTTTCCTTCCTGATGCCCCTTAGAGTATTATTTCTCTTATTTTCTTTCTGTTTGATGATCTTTCTTTAGCTATTCTGTTAGGACAATCACTATTAATTTTCCTTCATCTGCAGATATCTTTAATTTCCCCTTCATTCTTAAAGAATAGCTTCCCCAGACATAGAATTCATAGCTGACACTTCTTTTCTTTCAATATTTGAAAAAAATTCTCCTTTCTTCTGATTTCCATAGTTTCAGATGAGAAATCAACTGCCATTAGAATTAGTGTTCCCTGTGAGTAACATCTTCTCTGGATCCTTTCAAGATGTTTTCTTTGAATTCAGTTTTCAGAAATTTAATTATGATGTTTCTTAAAGTGAATTTCTTTGGGTTTATCCTACTAGAGATTTACATAGACTGTTGATTCTGTGTGTTTATGTCTTCAATCAAATTTCAGACATTTTCAGTTATTGTTTCTTCAAATACTTCTAGGACTCCCATGATATGAATGTCGGATTTTTTTGTAGTTGTCCTATAGGTCCCTAAAACTTTATTTTTTTCAGAATATCTTCTTTGTTCAGATTAAGTAAACTTTCTTTAACTGTCCTAACTGATTCTGTCCCCGTCATCTCCACTCTATTTTTGAGCTCACTCCCCTTAATATTATGCTTACCGGTTTATGAAATCTGATAGATTTAATGGTAGTTGATTTTGTATTATCCCTTAAGCTATTTCATCAAAACTTTAATATATTTTAGGAGGCAGTAAAACATTAGAGGGATGTTTCAATTTAATGCAGTTTTTCACAAATCTATTTCTTCTACATAAAGATATGTAGTTCTTATAATAGTTATGCATATTCCTAAATTAATAAATGCAGATCATGTGAATTTCTATATTTATAATTATAAAAAAGCAAACATAATTCAAGAAAAATAATGTTATTTTCCAAAGAAGATAAAACTGCATTTATGACAGAGATGTGCCAGTTAAATTTGCCCAATTATAAGGAAAAAATTCACTGATGAAAAACATTTTTAGAATGAAGTTATTTGCTGTGTATATTGGGGCTTCTCTTTCATGAGTTTTTTCCTGTACTGCAAGAGGTAAGTGATTATCTTTTCTCTCAGGCTCTGTTGATTCAGAGATTTCAAAAAAATCAACTAATGGCCACATTCAAATCAAGAATATAGATGGGATACAACATACTCCATTCAACTTCTTTGGAAGTTAAAGAAAAGCACTCTTATTTATTACATATAGCACACAATATATAATATTTATGCCTATTATAAATATACTGATTTCTTTTTTAAAAAATAAAGAGAGAGATGGAAACAAAGGCAGAGAAGAAAAAGGTCCATTTGTGATGGGAAATGTGGAGGTTAATATACAGGAAAAAGAGAAAAAGGAAAAGGAAGAATCAATGAGGAAAATGAAGGAAAACCAGTGATGAGAAAGAAAGACAGGGAAGCAGGCAAGATAAAGACTAAGATAGAATGTTGGGAAAAAAAAAAGGAATATGTCCAAAGAACAAAGGGGAGAAAGCAGAAGTAAGATGTAGAAGAAAAAGAAAATAATTAAAAAGAAATGGAAGAAGAAAGAGAAAGAGACCAGTTGGAGGTCTAAATCTATGAGAATCAGAGGATTGCTTTTACCTTAAAACTTAAGAAAAAATTAACATACTAATTTTGAAACTATGAGGTTGTACATTATGTGTATCTTCCTTATTACACTTTTAATAGTCTAACAAGTATATGTTGTTAACAAACCCTTTTCCTCAAAAAGCGTACCAGGCATGTATGAAATAACGTGGAAATACTTTTCAGGACAACTCTTTTCTTTGTATCCAAACTGTAGCCTGCAGTCTTTTAAGAGCCCACCTTGAGTGAGGAATTGAAGGGTCTTCTTCATTTTATTCTCTGGGCTATGTAGTTGTGCTTCTCCCTCCCATATTGTGATATCTTGAAAAGGGGAACCTTATTTTTTATGCTGTTTATCCAGAGCATGACTAGGTAATTAAAAAACACTCAGTAAACACTTCAATAAATAAATGAGAGTATTATGCATAAAATGATGAAATACTGAACCCTAGCAGATTCTGTATATAAGAGAACATTTAATTTCATAAAAATTATATCATCAAGCAAGGATTCAATTTTATTTCCTTAGAAAGAATAGATCTTGGTTAATGGTGCAGGGGAACAAAATAAAACATCTGCAGGCTTAAAAATCCAGATCTCTGTAGTTTTACCCCATATTTGTTCTACGTCTCCAGTGTTATCAACTAGCCTAACTACTTCATGTTACGAAGAACAAAAGAAAGTAAACTTATTGAGCACATCCCATGTATTAGGGGAAAGTGATAAAAGTAAAACTGATGTGGAGTCTTGGTTGGTCAGCGTGCAAGCTGTTCTCTCCAGGTAATTACAACTAGCGTCCCCTCCAGATGAGCTGAAATTGTTATTCCAACCCAAATAACTGGATTGGGATGACCACATCCTATGTCTCCCTTCCTTTCCTACTTACTGGTGCTCATCCCTTCTGAGCGGTCCTCAGGGCACCAGGCTAATATAGTGTAAGCCAGTGTTCCTGAAGTTCTCCCTTAAACATCGAGTCTCCAAATTCTCCAGTCAAAGAGCACAGCAAGGAGAGATAGGTTTAAATTACTACA